AAACTGAAGTAATTACCCAATTGGCAGTATTGTATTAACTCTGAAACTACATAAGTTTCCAACAGCATTCCAGAACCTTATGTAAACCATCATACCATCATACAAGCACTGAAATCATGATTACTCCTTTACACTAGTACTGCTTCTCTTATCCCTCCCATCAGCATCCTCATTTGTTGCCATTTGCAGGACATTCTTTTCCAATTTGAAAAATCACCTACAACCAAGCTTTTTTTTTAATTTTGTATGTGTGTACTTTTAATAGTTGAAATTTTTCTAGATAAACAGAGTACAATGTTACTACAGTCTATGAAACCCCTAAGGTTGTCTAGTACACATTGTGTTCATGGACATATGTGCATTTTTCTGAGGAAATGATGTATAGATTCAACCAGATTCTCAAAATGATGCATAACCCAAAGAATCTTAAAACTAAAACCAATGCGAAAGATCAAAAAATGTCTAGACCTACAGGGCTAAGAGATGTCACCTATAGTCTATAAAACACTTTAATGAATCCTGATATCCTAAGGCATTTCAGAAAAATAAATTACTTCACTGTTTTTTGCTGATGTCTTTTCCTTGTATAGTACATATTTCTTGACACCCAACTCCATAATTATATTATTGCAAGTTATCTGCTTTCAAACTTAAAATTTCTTGCTTAAGAAATTACTCAGCCTCTTAATTTTCCTTGTTTATTTTGGTCATATCCCACTGCCTGCTCAGTTTTCAAAGGGTGTGTCCCATTCCAGCTTAGGGTTGGAAGCGTGTCTACAATAGGCAATCCATGGGCAGTCAGTCTCTGAATCACCTGAAGCCCAGACAGTCACAAACAGTGACTCAGTTCAAATGAGCAGTTCACCAGCACTGTACTCTAGGCTGGCGATGAGACACAAGTCTCTTCACCTAAGCCCAGGAACAACAGTGGTCTAAAATTCAATTCTGCCTCAACAAAAAAGAAAAGAAAAGAAATTAAGGAAGCCCTCCACCTACACATGATTGGAAATAAGGCCTAGAAGAAAGTGGGCTACCCAGAGTCATAAGTTCCCTTCCACACAATGAAGCTTGAACATTTAATGTTCTCCCTACCAAAGTGAAAGCTCCAGTAGGGATCTTTGTCCTTTCCATTCACCGTTTAATTCCCAGGGACCAAACCAAAACAATGCTAACAGTCCATAGAGTGAATATATGTTAAATTAGGGGTGAGAAGAATGAATTGATTGAATACAAAAATGAATGAATGTGTCTATGAAAGCTCATAGCTTCCTTTCCACATTCTTCAGCATTTATGTCCTGCTGCTCCTCTCAATATTCACCCCTTTACCATGCAGTTCTCTGTACTGTCAATCATATTTAGTCTTCAAATCCACTCAAAGCCCCATCTCTTCTCTGAAGTCTTCCCTCACCACAACGCCCCGTAGTGTATACCTCTACGATTTTATTCATCAACATGTAGACACCATCTGGTGCAAAGCAATGTTAATGTTATTAACATAAAAGACACAGAAGAAATATAAGACAAGGCCCTGAGAACTCCCCATCTAGTTCAAGAGAAACATACAACAGAAAAATAATGGAGCCATATAAAAGAATGCTTGATCAAGAGCTAAATGAGTAATAGAAACAAACAAAAATACTACAGGTGATTAGAATTAGGTGTCTCTCCAACCCTATCTTTCACTGATACTCTTACCCCATTCTGTTCCAGTAAGTAATATCATTCTTTCATATCTAGGTGTTGGTCTGCCTGGATGGTCTCCTTGAATTCTTTTTTTTTTTTTAATTTCAGAAAGGAAGGGAGAGGGAGAGAGAGATAGAAACATCAATGATGAGAGAGAATCATCGATTGGCTGCCTCCTACATACCCCCAGGGGGATTGAGCCCCCAACCCGGACATATGCCCTGACCAGGAATCAAACCATTACCTGCAGGTTCATAGGTCAACACTCAATCTCTGAACCACACTGGCCAGGCCTCTCCTTGAATTCTTAGTAAATTTCTTTTTATTCTTCAAAATCCAGCTCAACTATCAACTCTTCTATAAGCCTTCTCTACCCTTTGGCCCTCAACAAAATAACCACAATCCCCTCCATGCCTATGTAAACTCCTAATATTGCACTTACTGAGCATATAATTACTTTTAAACCTCATATTCATTGAATTTTAAAACATATGTATCCTTCAATACAATACTTCTATACAGAAATACTTCTGTACTTCAGTACAGAAATACTTCCACATGTGTAAAAAAAAAGTATACAAATATCCATTGTACCACTCCTGTAATTATAAAATAAAATGGAAATGGATTAAATATCCACCAAAATGAAATGTAATGTAATGTAACCATGAAATAAATCTCTATGTACTGACACATAAAGATGTTCATTATTTGTTAAGTAAACAAAGTAACTTGCAGAGCAATATGCATAATATGCCTCATTTTTAACGCACAGTTATATTTTGATGTTTGAGTTGCATGTTCATACATACCTGATAAAACAGGTACATCTGGAAAGTTATTTGGGAGGGAGATGGAGGTGAAGGATTTTAATTTTTTTAATTGTCTATACTTTTGTTAATTACACAAGCCCTGTCTTCCTGAAATACCCTCTACTCAAATGGCAGACATTGAGTAATATGATGTCTGCAGCTAATAACTCACCTAATGAAGTGTTGGGAAATGAAAGAAACCAAATGATTTCACAGCTGAGTCCTCATTGGTCTCTCAGTTGCCAACCTCCTAGAGTTCAGTTTAAATTCCTTCTACAAACTCACAACTCATCAAAGGATAACATTTTTCACCCCAGGAACTGAAGAAATCAACTGGACTTTGAAGATTTTTTTCACCTGTACATTTTGTCTAGTGGAGAGAAAGGTAACATTAATTGACGGTGTTTCAAATCAGAGCATTCTGGGGTTTTTTCTTCTAAGTATCATCTTCTCTCAAAAGGAAAAAAAATGGAGTGAAAGAGTAACACTATTCTGTTGTTATAGGTAGCAATTTGAAGCATGAAGACTGTGATTCTACTGTTTTATCTTCTGGGATCAACTCAGTCGTTACCAGTAAGTGCAATATGTTTATCTTATGTACAACCCACCTTAGCAGCATCTTAATTACACACCTAATTCTCTTCCTGCCCTCTGTTCTGTGACCCATCCCCTTAGTTTCTGAGTTTTATTCTCCAAGGTGAAAAATGGTAAACTAGTAAAGTGTTAGTGCAAATTTCAATATACTTAACATTCTTAAAGTGCATCGTAGTAGAACTTCTAAAGGGTGTCCCAAAATTCACGCAAGAAGTAATTTTGATAGAAAACACAGGTTTATAATTAAAAATTGTAAATTTTTTATTGATTCATAAAGTATACAATATAGGGTTATGTATGGAATAGCATATTGGGTAAATGGCCTCCACGGCTTTGCTGGCACATACGCACTCTTTTATTGAAATTTTCCATGACCATTTTGCATAAATGTGGCTAAATTTTGATGAGGCTCATTTTCATCTTGATGGCTTGGTTAATCGACAAAATTGTCGCATTTGGGGTTCAGAAAATCCACGAGTGATTGCTGAGAAACAAATGCATCCACAACGTGTCACTGTTTGGTGCGGATTTTGGGCTGGAGGCATCATCGGACCATTCTTCTTCAAAAATGCGGCTGCTCAGGCAATAACAAAAGAGTGCGTATGTGCCAGCAAAGCTGTGGAGGCCATTTACCGAATATGCTATTCCACACATAACCTTATACTGTATACTTTATGAATCAATAAAAAATTTACAATTTTTAATTATAAACCTGTGTTTTCTGTCAAAATTACTTCTTGCGTGAATTTTGGGACATCCTTTATTAATTTGGCAGAGCAATAGGGTAGAAATTAGGAGAAAAAAAGAACCCCTTCGATTATATCTACTCAAAATGAATAATTATTTTAGTTTCTAAAAAGAATTTAAGATTTTTGTTGGCGACTAATTATTTTCTCATGACTAAAGAGATAAACTGGATTTTCTGATTTTTCCAATTGGAAGCACAAAACATCTAGATTATCTAAACTCCAAAAAGACTACCAAATCATACAATTGCAAGGGAATATTACAAAAATTTTTGTGACTTTTGACTTAGACCATTTCATCACAAAATGTATTTGCACATAACAGGTTTTTTTTTTAAAGAAAATGAGCACTTGCATTTGGACACATACTCCAATTGTCTTCCAATATTTTACAGACATAGAGATGAGTGGTTTGGGCCTCTAAGTGGATTTCCCTTTGACTATTTGAGATGCTTATGTGTAGACATTAAAAAATAATTACAATATATGTATTTGCTATGAAATAGCAAAATGCAAAGAAACATTTTAGGGGAGCTTTGAGCCCACTTGACACTTCAGTAGTCATCCATACAATCAACAAATATTTATTGGAAACTCTCTATAAACCAGATATTGTGCTAGCTACTAAAAAACAGTGGTGAGGGGAGAAAGGGCATGATCCTTCATGTTGTTCACTACACAATAGATGCTAACAAATAATTTTTTTAAAGAACTGTCAAATAATAAGTTGTAACTATGATTAGTCCTATGAAGGAGAAGAAGAGGGTAATCTTGTAGGAAGGGGATGGGACAGACATGAATAAACAACCTCCTTATTTCTTTCCAAATGATACATATGCCTTCTTGAAAGAGGTTATCTGCAAAAATTCAACTTCTAAACAAGGTAAATTAGGAAGTTAATTGTTTTGTAAACCACAGATTTCCCACTTTACCAAATAAATTTACCAAAAGGTTCTCCTAAATAGGGTGTCTCTACTATATTTAAATTACCATACATTTCGTAAAAACTCAAGATAAATAAAACCTTCCAGGAGCACAGCTATCATTCGAGGTAAACTGAGGAGTAGCATGAAGGTCAATGAAGATTGCTAATAGCCAATAACACGAGAGCAGCTACAGTTAGTGGTTCAGGGGACGCAGGAGGTGACACCAAGATATCTATTAGGTATAGCAGTGGTATCTGTCAACCAAAAAATCAGGACACATGGATGAGATTTTTAAAATTATTTGTGAGTTTATTGAATTATCAGAAACGCATAAAAATGAGTCAATTTGCAAATGTGGACACTTAAAACAGCCTAGCACTTGTTTTCAGTGGCTCAAGTTTGGGAATTGGAGATGGGGCAGGTTGCATTTTCAGGAGAATGGGCCTCAATAAGAAAGTGAACTCAAGCAAAGACTTGAAGCAGGTGAGGGAGTGAGCCAATGTCCAGGGAAAAAGCATTCCTGACAGAGGGGATGGGTAGAGGTGAGGCTGTGGGGCAGGAGTGGGCCTTACCTGTCACAGAGATAGCAAATAGCCAACAGCAGCAGTAGAGTGAGCGAGGGAAATGAAATGAAATGGACAGTCAGGGAGGCACTGGGGCCCAGGGCATGAGGGGCTGGCAGGCCCCCGTAGGGTCTCTGGCTTTTACTCTGAGTGAGAATGGAAGCCAATGCAGGAGCTGAGCAGAGGAGTGAAAGGACCAGACTGTTGTTTTCAAAGGACCACTCTGGCTGCCATGCTGATAGTAGATTGTAAAGAATGAAAAGAAATGTGCAGAATTTGTACTTACATATCTTAAAGCTTATAGGGACTTCTAAGAATAGATAATTCCAATCTTTCCTCTTAACCCTGAGGGGAAATGTCCCAAAGTGAAACCAACAATTAATGGCAGCTCCAGGGTATATCCAAGTGGCCAAGGGCACATGCTGAAAGGCTACACCACATGGCCCTCTGAGATGCAGCCAGAAGCAAGGGTAACAGAGAAGCAGACCTGGCCAGGGAGCTTCCACCTGAATGCAGAGGGAGTAGGGAGAGAAGCTAAGGGAAGGATTCATTTCTTCAAGGGCCAAGAACACTTGGGGGATCCGGTACTGGCTCTCCCACTCACCCTGTCACCTTGGGCAGGTCACTTTGCTTGTCTGGGCCTCGGTTTCCTTACCTTTAAAGAAAACCATACAAACATAGGGTACCCCAAGAAATGTATACACACTTTAACAGCTGATAGCGCAATTTTGAAAAGTGTTTGTATACATTTTGGGGACACCCTGTACATCATAAGGATCGCCAGCACGTTTTCACCCCTTAAATTTAGTGCTTCTCAAATACACTAGGAAAATACTCTGGCCAGAAAAGGGAGTTCACTTCCATTACAGAAAGTGAGTTGTCAGGCACAGGCAAAAGCAGAAAGCTTCGTTAAAATGCATTGGGAATTGTGGCAGAGTGCATTCAAGCATTAGGAAAAAGCAGATGTGAACGGAGCTAAGGGGCAGACTATGTATTTCATCCCCTGAGAAAAGAGGAAGGCAGTTACAGAAAAGAAATGGGAACCTGGGAACTACCACCAGAAATTCATGTGCCCTGCCCCACGCTGTCTCCCACCACACACCTCCTGGACTGGCATTTTTCCACTCTATGGTTCTATCTCCTGCCATGCATGAAATGTTCCAGGAAATTAAAACTGCTCCAAAACACACAGAGCCTAAGGACGGGCATTTTTGCATTGGGGACTACTAGTTACGTCCTGTAAATGAATGGATACAAAATCTCAAACACATCACTGCCTCGAAAATGTTTATCACAGATGCAGCTCAAACCTGCTTTGGGACTTCCTCCAACGCAGCTGGTTCCAGATCAGACAACCCTACTCAACCGGCAGCAGCCACATCAGGTGAGTCCTCCAACAGGAGCACTGCAGCCAGCAAAGGGAACGTGGTAAGACCAGTGGTTTTTAAATCAAGATTTACACGGAGTCTCATAACTAAACGAGAGAGTGAGGCTTTCCTTTTGGGAGAAAAGTAAAACAAGAACAAATACACTTTTTTGAAAATTTTGAGTAAGGAAAACAAAGCATCCTCATTCCTTTTCCTTTTGTCTGAAGAATAATTTGCTTTAGTAATCAAATCTAGTAAAATTTGAAAAGCAATAGCTACGGCTGTTGACAAAGCTTGGTCATCTGTGCCCTGTGATACTGTGACATGTCACGTGGTATTTGCCAGAGCTAACAGGGAGGTAATCTTAATAGAGGTAATCTATAAAAATAACTGCAAATTTCCTCCAGTTCCGTTGTTGTTGATGAGCTAATGCCTCACTATAAAGTCTGTTTCTTCAAAGTATATTTAAATGCTTTGCCTTTATCTAGACTTTATGAAACAACAGATAACACCAGAGTCTAAGGTTTTAATCTATGGTCATAAACCTATCTTTCTCCTTGCAGTGGTTCTCAACCTTCCTAATGCCGCGCCCCTTTAATACAGTTCCTCATGCTGTGGGACCCCCAACCATAAAATTATTTTCATTGATACTTCATAACTGTAATTTTGCTACTCTTATGAATCGTAATGTAAATATCTGATATGCAGGATGTATTTTCAGGGGTCACGACCCACAGGTTGAGGACCGCTGCCTTAGGGAAACTGAAGCTCACATAATTTAGAAAAAGAATACAAAGTTAGATATGTAAAATTAAGTACTAAAGTGAATAATTAATCATGAAATCAGAAGTAAGAAATACACATTTTTAAAGCTGATAAATACCATAAACTAGATAGGCTACTCAGGTGCCTCCCAGGGCCATGGAAGGGGGCAATACTAGTGAAGCTTCACCTTCATGGCAAATCCACCCCTAATGGGAGCATAAGTTACTTAAGGATGTCCACCATTGGCAGGTTAGTGAAAACAGACAACCTCTCTCTCATCATGTATACATCAATTTCAATGCCCTGCAGGTCTTCCCTTCTTTAAGTCTAATACCATTGACACAGATGCTCACCATGGTGTCAGATCTGCAACTGGTAAGTACCCTTTTATATCATTTAATAGCCATTATTAAGTAAATATAATACCTAATGTTGAGTGTGTGTATATATGTGTGTACCCACAAATATACACATATACACATATTCATTGTAGATCAATGGAAAGAGAGAAGACAGAAAAGTCAGAGAACTGAAAGCTATTCAACACATCATGAACTTTTTTTTTAGCAAAAGGGATGCTAAAGGAATTACAATTCTCAAGCCTTTACTCCTTCAGTTCTTCTTACCTCTTTTACAAGTTCCTCTCCCCATTTCTTCAGCAGGCCTTCCTCTCTTTTCCCCCACAACATGCACCCACCATTCAAATGCTATAACTGTTAGCTTCACCCCAACAACTAGAGAAAACCAGAAGGGGTAGGAGATTTTCATTTTTCATAAAATATCTGTATAGTTATTTAAACTATATATAGTTTAAGTTCCTTTGCTGATTAAAGTGGATTTTTATCTAGTAATCAGGTTTATATAGTAATAGATCCTATGCAGACTAGATATTTTATTCTGACTCTCGAAATTTTCATGGGGATACATCCTATGAAGAATCATTTCTTCATGAGAAAGCCATCAGAAAATTCCAGGAATCATTGCTGTTAGAGCCAAAAAAGGGAAATGCAGGTTGAAATTACCTAAGCTGTTCTCAGAGAATGGTTAAATGCCAAAGAAAATTTTAATATGAAAAAAGTTAGTCAACCTATGGTTGTATTGGTAGACTACACAAGTCTTGGAACTTCACCTCTATATCTAATTCTAAATGCAATATAGTATACATTTGCATAGTAACTTCTCCATGTAAACATATTTTACATTTGGTAAATACATGTTAGCTTCCTGAATGTCAAACTGAAACAATACAATGACAACCTTCTTTGCCTTACAGCTAAATCCTCCTCCTGCAGGAATGGCACCTGCTGCCCATACCCTCCCACTGGCCCTTGGGGGATTAAATGTTCAACAGCAGCTGCAACCCCAAGTAAGTCAACAACGGGACTTCAGTTAAAAATTGGGGAGTGCCTTCTCTTAGGTGGAAGCCTAAAGAGGAGGAAATAATTTGTTCAAGGTTCTTAAATATTTCCTCCAGATAATTTGTAGAGGGATGTTCTACAGAACATGGAACAGTCTTTGACAATTTGGGTCATGCTGAAAATCCATGAGAACACTCCTAGAAAACTGAGCATTCTGCCTCATAACCTCTCTAGAATACATTTGTAATGGGTAATAGAAAAACATGAAGAGTTGGGAAGATTGTGAAGTCAGAAGTATAAGGAGGAAAATGAGAAGTAGCAGGACTCTTCTCTAGCATGTTGTGTTTCCTATTGAAGACCTTCTGGGTGGCCAGAATCATCCCAAATTAAAATTAAGAGGCGAATAAAATTTAAATTCTAATCTCCTTTTTGTACCTTTTTGTCAGGCCCACTCAAAAGTCCCCAAGTACTTTCTAGTTCTTACCTACTTCCTACCATCATTTGCTTTCATGGAAAACCCTCTCACATCCTATATCATAAAAGCCTAATATGCAAATTGCCCCCTCGGGTGGTTCTACTGGGAGTTAAACCACTCGCTATGACATGCGCTGACCACTGGGGGGCGGCACAGAACATGGCAGGCATCAGCGACATGGCGCTGGCAGCGGGTGGCAGTGGAGGCGCTGCCAGCCCTTATGGGCCTGACGAGAGCGGGACTGCAGCGGGATAGTGGAGCAGTTGAGTGTGCGGCACCAGGCCAAGACTGGTATGAGCATGAGCCTGATCACCCCACTGATCGCCCTGCAGATAGATGGCCACCTGTGGCAGCGGCGGCAGAAGGTGGAGCCGCCACCTGGCTCCCAGGTGTTGAGGGAGCTGGGCAGGGGCCAGGCCCTGATCCATTGCCCCACAGGCAGGATGGTGGAGCAGGTGAGGGGGCGGCACCAGGCCAAGGTGGAGTTCCAGGTGGGGCTGCAGGGCTGTAAGGCTGGGGGCACAAGCTGGGGCCCAATCCCCAGAGGCCACTCCAAGGGACCCCACCCGTGCACGAATTTGTGCATCAGGCCTCTAGTTAAGATATAAAGGACATATTTAGGACATCAAACACTTAGGGATGTGTTTGAATTTTAACTATGGACAAAGCCCAAATATCTACCTTTCTGAAACTTCTTTAAATAGATTATTAGGCTCTAGGGAAAAATATAATGATCCCTTTATGACTGGACTAAGTCATTATGGATAACTTATTCTCCCTACCAGATTATTTTAGCCCCACATAATGGTCTAATTTTTTGTAGAAGCTTTATTATTTATTATATGCATCATATATAGTAATTATAGAGAACTTAGAAAATATAGATGAGCAAAATAACCTCAAAAATTCAGTTTAACATGGGGGAGGAGGCCACGACATAATCCTAATGGTCAGGATTAAACACTGTAAGCATTCTAGGATATGTCCTTCCTGTCTTTTTTTTTCTATGATGTGTTAAGCACATATTTTAAGAAAATTGCCCTGCTCTAACCTTGAAGTCAGACTTAGCACATATTTTAAGAAAATATGTTCTTACAATATGTAATGTTCTATCATTTGATTTTTTATTTAATAAATATTGAATAGTCTTTGTGTTTTGAGATATTCACTTATAACGTTGTTTTTAATGATTGCTTAGTTTTTTGTTGTATTACGAAAGTTTGGTGTATTTTTTTTTTAATTTTGCTTCTATAAATTATGCTACAGTGAACATTTTTTTAACTAAGTCTTTGACCATATCATGATTATCTTCTTAGGAGTAGTTCTTAGGAAAATAATTTGTAGGTGTGAAGACATAAAAATATAAGACTTTTAATACACATTCCCAAATTATGAAGCATGAATACAATAATGGACCAATATATCCTAACCATCTTCTTACTACTATGGACACCTCCAGGTTTTAATAAGAGTAAGCTTGTATTAATTAGTAATTATAATCAAAGCTGAGTTTAACTGACAAAATAATTTTAAGCTGCTCAGTTTAAATTTTACATCATATGCAACTAATACTTTTTTTTATACCTTTGTCCAAAATAACAACACAAGACACTCTAAGCGGCTTCATTAATTCCTATTTGTGAAATTCTGTAACATAACTAACTTTTACATTTCTTTTTTAATATTGAAATGTATACTTGTACTTATTTCCTACAGATATTTTAGAGCCTTCACTCAACATATTTGCTGCTTATATACATCTCAATAATAAAAGCTATTCTCTGAAAAAGACTAGAGAAATGGGCATATAAAATGAACATCTCTTTAACACGTGATCCTGGCATGGTCCTTATGCCAACTGCCCCACTTCAGTTTCAATTATTGCCCTGCTCTAACCTTGAAGTCAGACTTAGCACATCTTCGCATTCACTCTGGTCAAATGCATTAGTGGTCACTGTAGATATTACTAAAGGTTCAGTAGAGAGGATTTAACAATACACATTCTCCAACATGCAATATCATAAATCAATCTCCCTTCTCAGTGGAGATTCTTCACTCTCTTTAGGCTTTACCACCACTGAGGGTTCCCATACCTGCCCTTCTCCTGTGCACCCCAGTCCTTCTGACCCTGCCTTTCCAGGGTCCTCTGCCAGAAACTTGGGCACCTGTCCAAAGCTCCCATTTTTCAAAGCAAGGCCAACATGGTGGAGTGGACTCTAGATTCACACAACGTCTGGTCAATCCTAGCTCTCCACTTATTACCTGCATGATGTTGGCCAAGTTACTTAACCACCTGTGGCTCACTCTCCTCATAATTTAAAATGGGAGTAAAATACAACCTACCTCTAGAGCTTTTATAAAGGTTAAATGAGTAATCATACATAAAACACTTAGAATACTTCTTACCACACAGTATACATTCACCAACTATTAGCTATTATTATTTCAAATAATTTCTCTAGCAAACACTAATAAAAGAATTTATTTTTACATTGTTGAAATATTAAATTATCTGTAATTACTTAGACATCTCTAGTTTCCTATTTGTATCTTTTTGTTCCTTCCAACTCATCTTTTTTTTAAAAAAAAAAATTCAATTTTGTTTTCTCCCAAACCTCATGCCCCTTCCCCCCAACACCCTTCCCCATTGCCACCCTGAAATTAGTTGATTTTTGGTCAGTAGCCAGAGATCTAATGAAGAGGAAGGCTTTTCTTAAAAGTATGTACTTTTTACCTTTTGTTACTATGGCTATTACTGTCCTGGAAAATAATAAAGTTAAGAGTCTTTTTCATGAGACTTCTAAATCTTTGGGGTTGGTTGCTATTAAAAGTTCTATTTTGATTACTTTCCTGACACTGTGTGAATCTTTATAAAAATAAAAATAAATCCTAAAGCCCTAGTTCTCTTTGACAAACTCTAGGTTAGTTCTTGAAGAACCAGAGCACACCAACACCTCATCCAAATCTGTCTGACTATAAATTCAGGACATTTACATAGTTACCAGTGACCTTTCAAAATATTTCTCAGTTCTAAGAGCTCTTTCAGTGCCAGGGATTATTGAACAATGTCATCCATCCTTTCCTTCCAGTGCTCTATTTTAACAGCGGGACTCCCAGGCAACCGTCATGAGACTAACCATAAATGCTTCAAGAATTCATCGTATTTGAAAATATTCACTGTGTTTTCACGTATCTTCTTAAGTGCTATACAAAATAAACACATGCTTTTTTATCACGTTTTATATCATTATTTCTTGGGATAATTTTCAATTTGGAGGTAGATTAAGGCCAAAATTATTTTTTGATCATCCAATTTACTAACATCTACCTTCTAGATGTGCTGCCTTGTACAGGTTTTAAAATCTCCCTGGGTCTAATCTTCTTTTTTACAAATTGGATGAGTTCTGATAGCCATCCAGTTCTATGAGTCTATATCTAGGATTATAGATGATACATTAGTAACAAATACTTGTTGAACAAATGTGTTTTTTAAGAAAGTCTTGATATTGATATCATCCATCAGAACTTACCTTTGAATATGTTTTTTACTGAATTTATTATAATTTCTTTCCAGATGTTACCACTTATTGTAGCACAACTTGGAGCCCAGGTAAGGTTATTTCATATGATGGCTTTTGTTTGAAATCATCTTAGTGTGAAATATTTAATCTTGCCTCGATTCACCAAATAGTTGCCAAGTTTACTATTTACTTTGCACTGTATGAACACTGATAATGCCAGGCACTGTTATAAGTATTTTATTATTTATTATGTACTATCTCATTTCATCTTCAAAATAACCTTTTATAGACAATACTAGAGGCCTGGTGCACAAAATTTGTGCACAGGGGAAAGGAGTGGAGGGGGGGATCCCTCAGCTCGACCTACACCCTCTCCAATATGGGAGCTCTCAGGGGATGTGCTACTGACAGCTTGGGCCCACTCCCTGTGGTTCTCTGCTCTCTGCGGGGCCTGCCTGCTCCACACCACTGGGATGGGCAAGCAGGCCCTGCTGGGTGCTGCCTGCGGGCCCACTTGCCTGCTCGCCGGTCACCGCCACTGCCCAGCAGGCCCTGATGGGTGCTGCCTGCGGGCTGCTTGCCTGCTCGCAGTTTGCCACCACCACCGCCTAGCAGGCCCTGCTGGGTCCTTCTGCAGGTTGCTGCCGCCACCGCCCAGCAGGCCCTGCTGGGTGCTGCCTGCAGGCCGCTTGCCTGCTCTAAGGTCGCCGCCGCCACCACCCAGCAGGTCCTGCTGGGTGCTGCCTGTGCCCTGCTTGCCTGCTGGGCTCACGTTGCTGGGGTGACGCCACCAGTGTCCTGCCCAGCCTCTATGGGCGCCACCATCTTTTTGTTGTGGAGTGATGGTTAATTTGCATATTACTCTTTTATTAGATAGGATTTTTATTGCCAATTTGAAGGTGAGTAACTGGAGATACAGGAATGCAGTTACAATCACAGAGATAGTAAATGTCACAGGTGATACAACCAGTCAATTCTTTAAATCACACTGTTAAGACAAAAATAAATTAATGGGATTGATCTGAGTTATGATTTGGGGGATTTATTTTTTTAACTTCAAATTTATTTATTAATTATATATCATTTCCCTAAAAAATTATACAAACATTGCCCCCTCTCTCTCGTGTGTGTGTGTGTGTGTGTGTGTGTGTGTGTGTGTGTGAAAGGTAATTCTTGAGATTACTGGTAAAATTACCAATGGTCAAGATCAAATATGAGCATCAGATGGCAGTTTTTACTTCTAAAAGCAGAATCAAATATAAAATTTAGATCAACTCTTGATTCCACATCTGGGAACACATCTAAGAAAATAATCTGAAATATAGCAAAGGTTTATTTACAAATATGTTAATTAAAATAATATTTATAGTACAGAAGAATATTGGGTGCAACTTAAATTTTAAAGAAAGGAACATAAGTTAGCTGTGCAACATTAAAGCCAATATTTTGTGATCATTTGAAAGTCTTTTTATTAAAATAGGTCTGTAATGTGGTTAAATGGTCATCGTATAGTATTAAAAGAAAAAGGAAGACAGAAATTGTTTAAATGACATGACTTCTATTATATGAAAAACAAATGTGTGAAAAACATCTGGAAGAAAATATATCAAACTCTTCCAGATGCGATTATGTTATTTTTCTTCTTGCTTTCTGCACTTTCCAAGTTTCCTCCAATGTGCATCTATTACTTAATAATGGAAAAAATATATTTTTAAAATATGAAAGACTTCACATCACTCAAATAATGTTATCTGTCTAATATCATGTGCTGACAAGAGTTTTGTAATGCAAGTCACAAGGCAGTTTAAAATTTTGTTGAAAATAAAGTCTATTTTTACAATTTTTAAAATTAATTTAATCTTTTAAGTTATGTTATACACATCATGCCATTAATATATTAAAATTTGTCTAACAATTTTTGTTATTATTTTTTAGGGTACTATCCTAAGCTCAGAGGAATTGGTAAAAACATTTTTTAATTACTAATATTTAAAATTATTTTCAGTGCTAATACAATGCTGTTTTCTGTCCTCATATTAATAGTCTCTTTGACCACAAACCCTAAACTCGTTGTCTTCTACAATAAATTGAAAATTTTTATAGGTCTTTGCATTAAGTTATTATCCTTTGCCTAGGTGGGCCTTTTATCTTCATTATCCAGTTACTTTTCCATTAATTTGACTTAGCTTTTGTTTTCTGTATATTGATGTCAGATTCAATTCTATCCAGAAAACCAATGCATATTTTTACTTTATATTTATTAAAATCCAGGATTGTAAATTACTGAAATGCAATAACAGAGGTTTTTAATATATATATATATATATATATATATATATATATATATATAAATTTTTTGCAGGAAAATTTAATTTCCTTGACTTAAATTTTTAATTTTTGCAGGAAAATATATTTTTTAGTGTTTTATAGTGATAGATGAACCTAAATAATACTAATATTATCATTACTAGGCTCTTCTATGCATTTTCTGTAAGTCATTTTTAGAGAAAAATGAATTAATATGGTATCTAAACATGACATTGAAATTAAGAGTTGAGACATTACCTGAGAAGACAGTTTTTTTTAAAATTTTCTATTGTAGAAAAAGGTAGAGACTTGATAGATTGTCCATAAATAAAATAATGGGGCTGTTTTGTCAACATTAACACATTTACACCTACGTTTACCAGTTTTTGAGCCAATTCTATATAACAGGCACCTAATAGATTTTTTTTCTTTATTGATTAAGGTTTACATAGTGCCTTTAATCCTCACCAAATTACAAAGCCAAAGTTTTTAACCCACCTTTATAGATAAAGGAACTGAGGCTCAGAGAGCTTAAGAAAATTAGGTTCCAAGCTCAAAAACAGATCGAAAGCCATTTTTCTATCTACTATGCCAATGGTTTTAAAACATTGTTTATTAAAACCCACAGTAACAGCTATATTTTTCATTCAGCTAACACGGACAACACACATAGTACACACACACACACACACACACACACACACACGTTTCATGAAACTATATTTACCCTTATTATATGGACTACAATAGGTAATTTATAGTCTACTAGAGGCTCAGTGCACAAAATTTGTGCACAGGGAGTGGAGGTGTCCCTCACCCCGGCCTGCACCCTCTCCAATCTGGGACCCCTCAGGGGATGTCTGACCGCTGGTTTAGGCTCGATCCCACAGGAATTAGGCCTAAACTGGCAGTTGGACATCCCTCTAGCAATTCAGGACCACTGGCTCTTAACCACTCACCTGCCTGCCTGCCTAATGCCCCCAACTTCCCTCCTCTGCTGGCCTGGTCACCCCCAATGGCCCTCCCCTGCCAGTCTAATCTCGCCCCCATCTGCCCTCCCCTGACGGCTTGATCTTGCCCCCAACTGCCCTCCCCTGCTGGCCTGATCACCCCAAACTGTTCTCCCCTGCTGGCCTGATCACCCCTAACCCCCTGTCAGCCTGAACTTGTCCCTAACTGCTCTCCCCTGCCAGCCTGATCTTGCCCCTAACTGCCTCTGCCTCAGCCCCCACCATCATGGCTTTGTCCGGAAGGAAGTCAGATGTCCAGAAGATGGCTGGTTGACCTGGTCTAATTAGCATATTACCCTTTTATTAGTATAGATATAGACTATTCTTTTTATCTTGTTTTTAATGATGGCTACAACCCACCTGCTTTATTTCAAACCTATTGATATCATGATCCTCATTTGAAACTTCTGTACTCTACTGCTGTCTCTCATGCAGCATACATTTAATTCTGGCTTTAATACCTCATACGTCTACAACGGTGTTTCCCAAACTTCAGTCCTGGATCTCAAATCAGGACAACTTGGAAGGCTGGTTAGAATGCAGATTTCTAGGTCCTGCCCTCAACCTAGTCCATCGTAATCTAACAATGGAGCCTAGGAACTTACCTTTATTACAAATTCCTTGGGTGGTTCTTATGAAAACTAACAATCAAGAACCATGTTCAAGGAAATTGAACTGAATCTTAATTGTGAGCTCTTGGCCCTTTTTATACCATGAAAACACCTACAGAGCTAGGAGGTCCTGGAGAACTGGGTCCTGTCTGAACCAGCCAATGTCAAAATATTCCTTCTTGCCCTAACCAGTTTGGCTCAGTGGATAGAGCGTCGGCCTGCGGACTCAAGGGTCCCAGGTTCGATTCCGGTCAAGGGCATGTACCTCGGTTGTGGGCACATACCCAGAGGGGAGTGTGCAGGAGGCAGCTGATCGATGTTTCTCTCTCATCGATATTTCTGACTCTCTCTATCCCTCTCCCTTCCTCTCTGTGAAAAAATCAATAAAATATATTTTTAAAAAATATTTCTTCTTAGGTGGAACTTCTCACAGTAATTTTTTCCCCTGGGCGGGTGGCGGGGGAGAAGAAGAAGTGTGGCGGCAGCAGCATCCATTACCACTGTGCAGATCATTGACAGTTCAATAAAGAGTTCCATTGGGAACCCCAAGGAATACACAAGTGGCTGAATTACTAAGAGAAATATTTATGACCAAATATTCCAATACCTTTGAAAAACACATCAAAAGACAAATGAAGGGATGCAAACCATGAGATGAGGATTGATTAATCTACTTGAATTAATTTTGCCCATTAATTTTTAGTCTCCTAGACTACCTTTTAAAAAATTAGTTGCACAGGAAAGACTATGATTTCGGTTCATTACAGAGACATAGCCTGTCATAATTCTATGGATTTTCTGCCTGAATCCTACCTCCAAATACACCCGACTGGCTTGATTGTGGCTTTCCCTTTCTGAGGGAATTGCAGCACCGCAAGGAATCCCAGTAATGAAGCCAGCATCAGGCTTGGCTCAGGGAGAGAGACATTTCCTTTGAGGAGGGCCCATCTTTATTATTTTCTCTGACTCTCCCTTCTCTATCCTGCCATTCCTACCCAAACATATTGCCCTCAAAGAAGAAAGCCTGGTTGACTGGCCTTTAAAATGTATTCCTTTAACTCTGTTTTCTGTTTCCTTCCCTCATTCCAGCCAGTGGCCCCGCAAATCTTCACAGGCCTCCTCTTCCACCCCTTGTTCTCCGGAGCCATCCTGCCCACCAGCCATGCTAATCCAGACATCCAGAACACAATCCTTCCTGCGGGACAAGCAGGAGTAAATCCTGCCGTCCAGGGAGCCCCAGAAGGCCCCTCCCCGACCCCCAGTGGCACAGATGATGACTTTGAAGTGACCACTCCAGCAGGCATCCAAAGGGGCATGCACATCGCCGAGGAAACCACTACCGGGTTCCCCCATGGTAAGTTCTCCCAGCCAGGAAAACGCCCTGGATCATGACAGTCATCTGCAGAGAGGGAGAGAAGAGTTCTTTGTCTTGTTGATAAATACAGATCTTAATAAAGTCAGGGAGCCCCTTTACTCACAGTAGTGCAGCAATGGGAGGGAATATTTTCACTGGGCCACCAACCCTACCGGCTGGACCCAGAAAGAAGAGATTTAATTGCTGGCATACATACTTTCCACCTTAGGTTGGACCTGGAAGTATTTTGAAACAGACTGACTCTCCTTTTCCCATCTCAGACACATACAGGCCCACAGCAGAGACAGTTCACCCATCATGATTCTTTTTTCCACTCACTGGTCATGGATGAGCCTCCAACTTCTCCCGAACTTAATGCTACAAGCAGCCACTAGTAACACACTGCACTTAGCACACAGACGAACCCGTGTGCCATTCAGGTGGGACTTGAGAAATGTTGCAAAAATAAGCTCTTCTAGTGGGAACAAGCAAAGATAATAGTTTAACAAGTGTGTGTGTCTGGAACCAAATGTCCTTGGGGATAAAAGAACAATTTGATACTGATACTCTTGCTCCTAGAAAAAAAATTCTGATGGCAGGTAAAAATGTTTAAATTCAATATGCTTTGACCTCATTTTAAAAGTGTTTTCTTTTCTTCCAGGAATTCAGTAAGCTGTTGCGAATTTTTTCAACTAAACCACCTTAAGTGTGGTGCTACATAGAAGTATTTGTCACTGAGCATATTATGAAAAAAATTGAGACACTGAAGAATACCAGAAGAAATTCTTAGTTAACTAAAAACTTGCTTGAAATTTCAGAAAACATATTCTTCCTAGAGAATACAGACTTCTGAAAAAGAGTAATTAAATAGATGATTTGTCTTTGAAATGTAACATGACACCATCCTGGATATGGATGACATATACATTAAAACATGTTTTGAAAACTGACGTTTTCTTCTTTGAGGATGGAAGAAAATTAGACCTTTTCGGGGAGACCCTCAGGTCTAGGACTATCTGTAGTTGTGGGAATGGATACCCAGCAATGGAAGGAAATGCTCTGATTTCCTCACAACCACCTTAGGACTTACTCCCCAAATTTAACTTCTACATGGAAATTATTTTTGATTGTCTAAAATATACAGTGGAAACAAAGAATTGTAAATCATATTGTTCCTCAAGCTACTTACATACAGAGCTAGTGATTATGGTGTTTAATGCTTAATTTTGGTATGTCTGAGAGTGAGAAATGACAGTGCTAAAAGTTATTATTAAAGGTGATTCTCTTGCTTCTCACACCTAAAAGGTAGAATTTAATCTGATTTAAATTTATAACCTAGACCATTACAATTCACTCAGAGTGGGAGAGGGTGAGAGAGATTAATACAAACTATACTACACTATGGCCCCCACAAATGACAGATATGGATAGATTTAATAATATCCCTCAGTATATTTGAGTCAACCCCACCAGTATAAAATA